TTCTGTTTATCATCAGTATCATTGTGCTGATTGCAATGCAGTGCTCCAAATCCACAGACACTTTGAAATATCCTCAAGAGACTAATTATGACGGGACACTGTGTCACAGCATCCAATATAGATCTGGAGACAAACGGTACATGTTAGTGGGACCCAGAATGAGTATTGGATCTACTATAGTACCTGGGAGCCACGCAAATACACTTGTGTTACCTGACAGGAGAAGAGCATTTGAGGAGGTAAGCCCCTGTCTACGTGTTGCTGTTCACGTATTTACGGTTTATTAGTCGATTTGAAACAATTTGTGAATAAAGTAAATGTATATCACACTGATTTATATGCAGCAGCCTAGTATTGCTTTAGAGTTGAACCTGAAGGAGGGTAAAGATTAACCTATGAACCATGGATGTACTGTAATGTTGAATTCAGAAGTAGGGGGGAGGCAAATATTTTTATATAGCTATTCTGGGTTTGTTTCCTCCACTTTCTCTTGCATCTCTGCTATTCCTCTCCTGACAACATATATGGATGAATGACATGAACAACTGTGTGCTTCAAATCTACAAACATAGATTTGAAGCACATCGTTTTTTACATATTTTGAGCCTTGGTTTATAAGATCACATTTATAGATTATATTGTTTCCCTTTTTATCTGACAATAATAATATACGATAATAATATATTTTCTTATCCATACTTTTAATGAAACGGATATACTTTACGAGGCTATTGAGAGCTTTATTTTGCTAAGGATATTCTTGATGTGTATATGGTTTTTGATGGAGCCAGTGAAGGTGTTTTGTGAGGGGTGTTATACAGTTCTTTGAATGTAAAGTACACTTTGAATTTTAAAGAAGTCTGTTATGTCTCTTTCTTTTTTCAAACGTCCTAGCTGCGAGTCTAAAAACTAAATACACAAACACATACGCACACAACACCAATTCAAAGATTTGTGTAAATTAATCCATCTGATATTAAATCCCTCGTAGTTTATGTGCGAACTATGTGTGTATTGGACAGATGTTTGAAAAGCAAACATAGTTTGTATGCTCTGGGGTTACCCTACTTATCATACCAGAAAATAAATGTATCAAGTAGCTACTCATATTTCTGAAACAGTAATATTGTATTACTGAAATGGTTCTGCATTCTTAGAGATAATGCCCTTTTTTGTGTTCCTGTGAGCAAACAGATATTGATTAGGCAGTGGAAATTTGCTAAAAGTATGTATCTGCATTTTTTAAAATTACATCCCTTCCATTTATCAATCAATACATTCACCTCTTTGAAGACTGTAAGAGGAACAAAAAAAAACAACTAATAATCTATTGTGAAAAATTGTTATGATAATTTTTTCTTACATATTCCATTTGTGTCCATTTGTTTATGTAACTATTTGCAGTTATTTTCTCTCAAAATCTGATGCTTGCCCAAACAGCTGTTCTACTCATTATTTTTAATAAGGTGATCTTCTGAAAATGCGCAGCTTCATCTTAGCCGTTATCCCTGATATAACAAGTTTTGCAGTGTGTGTTCCACTTCTCCAAAATATAACACCATTATTCGTTGAAAATGTAGGATTTACACAAAGTTTTAATCCTGTCTAAAAAACCTTTGGAGAAGGTGCGCTCGTCAAAAATTACCGCGACAATGAATGTCATGATATTTTGTCTTCCTTTCTCATAAACGTGTTTTCCCATTCGCAATATATTTGTCAACGTTTAAAGTGCAATGCTTTTCCCGAGACACGCGGTGTCAGTATAATAAAAAGCTCTGATCATATGCGCACTGAAAAGATTCCCCTAAACCCATCCTCTACTTACAACCGAGCCGTTATTGTGATTGCGGAAGATTTTCGCATCTAGGAGGTCAGAAATATTTAATTCCGCATAACAGCGAACGTATTGGAGGAATTCTTATTTTAGCACACATGAAGAGCTCTTTCAAGGGGATACACTATTTCTATTAAATCATTCGTCCTCCCGTGATGGAACAAAGACAACCTGAAAGACGGAGAGCGCGGAAAATATGGACATTAATCCTCATGCTTTCAATGCAGATTTGGATCGGCGTTACAGCACAGTTCCGTTATTCCGTCTTCGAGGAAGTTTCAGATGGAACAGTTGTCGGGAATATTGCGAAAGATTTAGGACTCGATAAGACAATGCTGAAAGAGAGGGGGATCCGTATTGTTTACGGGTCGACTGAGCCTCCCTTTATGGTGAAACAAGATGATGGTGTCTTATATGTGAGAAGCAAAATTGACCGGGAGGAAATCTGTGATCGAAAGAAGGTTTGCGTGATTGACATAAAAACGGTGCTTCAGAACCCGTTGGAGATACATCATGTCGCTGTGGAGATTCTGGATGTAAATGATCATTCACCAATATTTCCTCAGAAAGGAATCACCTTGGAGGTTTCTGAATCTGCTTTGCCTGGAGCAAAATTCCAATTGCAAGCTGCACGGGATGCTGACAGTGGTTTGTTGTCTGTTCAACAATACAGATTAAGCCAAAATTCACATTTTCGTTTAGATGTAAAAGATCGAGGGGAAGACCGTAAGACACCCAGTTTAGTTCTTGAAAAGCCACTCGACAGGGAGTCAGTTAAAAGCCATGTTTTACTGCTGACAGCATTGGATGGAGGTAAACCCCCAAGACTAGGTAACATGACAATAATTGTTAATGTTTCTGATGTCAATGATAATCCACCCGTTTTTAGTGAGGAATTGTATATTGTTTCTCTTAAAGAAAACTCTCCTGTTGGTACGACCGTGATCCAAGTTAATGCAACAGATTTAGATGAGGGTTCAAATGGGGAGCTGGAATATACATTTGGAAATGATGTGGATGCAGGGATACGTGAACATTTTCATTTAAATCCTTTGACTGGTGTTATTGTTGTTGCAGGGCCCATAGATTTTGAAGAATGTAGCCGATATGAAATTGACGTTCAAGCATCCGACAAAAGCCCGGCAACACTCAACACAGAAAAAAGTGTGGTAATCAACATTGTAGATATAAATGACAATGAACCTGAGATAGAAGTGACATCATTTTCTAATGCACTCCCAGAGGATTCAAAGCCAGGGACAACAGTGGCATTGATTAGTGTGAAAGATGCTGATTCTGGTCTGAACGGACAGGTTATATGTTACATAAACCAAGACCTTCCGTTTCAGTTAACACCTTCTTCACAAAGTAACATGTATTCTCTAGTAACTAAAACTATTCTCGATAGAGAACACAAATCTCAGTATAACATAAAAATAGTTGCAAAAGATTCAGGGCAGCCTAGCTTACAATCAGAAAAAAATATAAGAGTGGATATTTCTGATGTTAATGATAATTTACCAGAATTCTCTCAAAGACCATACATCTTTTATGTTTATGAAAATAATACTCCTGGTGGGAAGATTGCTTCTGTAAAAGCCACTGACAAGGATGTTGATATGAATGCAATTATTTCATATCAAATTTCACGAGAAAGAGAATTAACAAATATGCTCGCATCATTTGTAAATATTAATTCTGAAACTGGAGATATAGTGGCTCTGAAAAGTTTTGATTTCGAAACACTAAAAATGTTTCATTTTCAAGTTATTGCCACTGATTCTGGGACACCCCCACTAAGCAGCAACGTTACAGTGAACGTGTTCATTCTGGATCAGAATGACAATCCTCCTGTCATCCTCCATCCAATCAGCTCCAACGGATCTGCTGAAGGTGTGGAGGAGATTCCCCGCAATGTGAACGCAGGACACTTGGTGAC